CTTTGCAGCGCCACCTCGGGGAAACTTGAGGGCTGGTTTTAGTTGTACGGAGTGCTCATCCGGTGTTCCCTGAGAACGAGATATGTGCAGCTCCTATCGGGATTTGTCGGCACAGTCGGGTGGTCTTGCTGGTCTTGTTTTACCATTGTCGAAATGTCTTGTAACCGGGATTCCGAGCCTGATCTGATTGTTCCAGAAGAAAGAATATCCTTCGTTGACCGTGAGAGCTTGTGATGGGCTAAGTTGGGACACCCTTGCAGGGTATAAACTTTCGAGAGTTGTGCCCGTGGTTATGTAACATATGGGAATTTGTTAATATCCGGTTGTAGAAAACTTGACACTTAACTTTATTGAAATGAATCAACCGCGTGTGTAGCCGTGATGGTCTCTTTTCGGCGGAGTCCGGGAAGTGAACACGGTCTTGTGTTATGCTTGAACATAAGTATTTTCAGGATCACTTCTTGATCACTTCTAGCTTCTCGATCGTTGCGTTGCTTCTCTTCTCGCTCTTATTTGCGTATGTTAGCCACCATATAAGCTTAGTGCTTGCTGCAGCTCCACCTCATTACCTTATCCTACCCGTAAGCTTAAATAGTCTTGATCTCTGATTGCTGAGTCCTCGTGACTCACAGATACTTCCAAACAGTTGCAGGTGCCGACGATACCAGTGCAGGTGATGCTACCGAACTCAAATGGGAGTTCGATGAGGATCTTGGTCGTTACTATGTTTCTTTTCCTGATGATCAGTAGTGGAGCCCAGTTGGGACGATTGGGGATCTAGCATTTGGGGTTGTCTTCCTTTATTTTGGTTCCGTAGTCGGACCTTTGATTGTACTCTGGATGATGTATGTTTAACTTGTTATTTGTGTGAAGTGGCGATTGTAAGCCAACTCTTTGTCCCTTTCTTATTTAGTACATGGGATTGTGTGAAGATTACCCCACTTACGACTAAACCACCATGCGGTTATGCCTCTAAGTCATGTCTCGACACGTGGGATATATAGCCGCATCGTGGGTGTTACAACTTGCAACTGGGGCGGCCTTTTTTTGTCCTAGTTGATAGTCTAACCGTCACTCGCAATTGGGGCCAATCTTTTCTGTCTTAGTTGCAAGTCCACCTCGACTCGCAATTGGGCCTAATCTTTTTTCCAGTTGCAAGTCTACACTTGACTCGCAACTAAGACCCGGTCTTTTTTGGTCGTTGTTGCAAGCGCACCCTTCACTTGCAACAGGGGCCAACATTTTTTGTCCTAGTTGGAAGTCTACATTCGACTCGCAACTTGGGCCCGATCTTTTTTTGTCCAAGTCACAAGTCCACCCTTGACTCGCAATTAGGGCCTAACATTTTTGTCTCAGTTGCAAGTCCACCCTTGACTCGCAAGTTCGGCCCATATTTTTTCCCAGTTTCAAGTCCACAGTTGACTTGCAACTAGAGCCCTACCTTTTTTGTCCCAGTTGCAAGTCTATCCTCGAGTCGCAACTGGGGTATGACGTTTTTTTCCTCAGTTGCAAGTCCACCCTCGACCCGTAACTGGGGCCCAATCTTTTTTTGTCCCAGTTGCAATCCCACCCTCGACTCGCAACTGGGCCCTGATATTTTTGTCCTAGTTGCAAGTCCACGCTCGATTCGCAACTGGGCCTGACCTTTTTCTGTCTCAATTGCGAGTCCAGTCTCGACTCACAATTGAGGTCTGGCATTTTTTTTGTCCCAATTGCATGTCCACCGCTAACTCACAACCGGGGCCAACCTTTTTTCTCCCACTTGCAACTCCACCCTCTACCTGGAACTAGGGCCCGATCTTTCTTAGTCTCAATCTTAAGTCCACCCTCGACTCGCAACTTCAGTCTAACAAATTTTATGAACATTCGTCAGTTTCATGAATGTGTAAAAATGAGACACATCCTTTTGAGTCATATCCTTTCGTATATCAGGCTAGTTTGTTCACCAATTCGAAAAATGTTCGTGTTAAAAGAAATTGTGTTGATCAATTCAAAAAATTTGCTTCAATTTTGTTTTACAATTTCAAAGATATTATCATTTTCAAGTTTTATTTACAAATTAAAAAAGTTCCAGAATTTTTATATTTTATTCACTAGTTTAAAAAATGTCCAGAAATTTTAAATATTGTTGCTGCTGGGCCCGATGGTTTTTCTGTCTCAGCTGCCCCACTTGCAAGCCCACCTCAACTTGCAACTGGGACTAACCTTTTTTCACATTATGTAAACATTTTTTTAATGTCACAAACATATTTTTGAAATGCTTGAACAACTTTTTAAAGGGAATTTTAAGATGTGTGTTTTTAGCTTTTTTTTTGGTCTGGTCCTATATAACTTTCTGGATCTGCATGTGGCCTGGCCATTTTGCATGGGCGTTTTGCATGTGGTTTCTGTCCATGTGATTTGGGTCATTCTTTAACAAATGTTCACGTGTGTGCAAGAGGAGAAGGGACAACAGTAGTTTTTTAGGGCAAAGTTCCCGTGTAGAAGTACTATGTCCACTCGTACGTGCGTTGAACGGACCCAGCGTACAGTGCACCGGCGTGAAACACATTGTGATGGCTGGACTGATATCAACCAAAATAAACAAATAGACAAACAAGCCTTGTAATGCATACAAGGAAGCATTTGTCCCGAATGCCACTATATGCGTTTCCTGGAGAGCAACATTATCCTTGCCTTGAACATTATCCATCTACAACAGTTTGTTTTCATTGTGAACGCAATTTTTTTGAGAACATGAAGGTGAAAGTTCAGCAGAATACACAACTCGCCGACCTAGTTGTATGTCTACCCTCAACGTGCAAAACTTGCCCCGGCTCCTATCTAGTTGCATGTCCAAACCAAACTTGCAAGTTGCAACTCGCCGATACAGTTGCATGTCTAACCCCAATATGCAACTTGCCCAGGCCCCTATCTTGTTCCATGTCCAAACCGAACACGCAAACCCACCCGACCCAGTTGAATGTCCAGCCCAAACATGCAATTCATGTCCGACCGAGTTGCATATCCACTCTCCGCATGCAACTCGTTCCCCAACCCAATACCCTATCTAGTTGTATTTATTTTTTGTAAATACATGTGAACTTTTGTAATATGCATTGTATATTTTTCTGTATATATGGGAATGTTATTTTTAACACGCATTGAACATTTTTTCAAATACATGATGAATATTGTTTTTCAAATATAGGCCCGAGCAATTTTTAGAATACATGGTATTTTTTTTTAATTTCCTTCTGATCATTTGTCTAAATGGTATGAATCTTAAAAAAACTTACGTGAACATTTATTTTACATTGCATAAACATTTATTCTAGAAAATGTCGTGATTTTTTTAAATGCATGAAGTTTCTTTACAAAATTGTCAGGAACAATACTTTGGATGTTAGGAAACTTTTCTTCATGGTATAATATATTTTTAACATGACAAACATTATTTTGAAATGCATGAACATTTTGTAAATGTCAACATTTTTAAATGTTGCTAACACATTTTTATCGATTTTTTTGATTAAAATAATAATACACTCAATGTATTCGTATTTTTTTAATGTCTGAAATTTTCAAAAGTTTCCACACTTTAAAAAAATTCAGGGATTTTCAAATTTTGTTCGTGAAGAAATTGTTTGGAATACCAAATTTTGTTCTTTAAAAGAATGTTCGGAACTACAAAGTTTATTCACATTCTAAAAAGTCTGTTCAAAATTTTCAAATTGTTTGTGTTTTAGAAAATATTCGACATTATAAAATTATTCATAATTTGCAAAAAAGGTTTCAACAAATTGCAAGATTGTCACCACTTGGCATGAGTGATAAGCTATATAAAAAATTGCAAGATTGTCTTCTAATCTCGACGGCCTGCTATGTTCTTATATCTCCCGTCTTCCTAAATATCAATAATAGCTATTGGTTGGAGTGGCAGGAGCGTGTGCAGACTAGTGTGTGATTGCGAGTTCTAATCCTGTACGGCGCACCGCATCAGTTGCATTTTATTTTGTCGCCCGAAGGAAAACGACAAATAAGAAAATGACGAGAAAATAAAATAAATAAGAACCTCTGCTGATGTCACAGCATTTCGCCTTTTCTTGGTAGTTTCCGTGTGTTTCACCGCAACAAATTCAGATGTTTGCTACCCGGGATACGGAAGTTATTTCTAGTGTACTAGCGTTAATAATTAATAAGATGTCAAATAAATCTAAGGTACCATGGCCTCTTATCTTTTTGTGCATATAAGATCAGCCATCTGAGTGTGTTTACAAACGTTCTCCTATGAAACGAAACTGCGAAAGTTTCATGAAAAAAGAAAGTTTGTGGACAGTTTCTCTCGTTAGTCTATTCCTCGTTCAGCGTCAGTAAGTTTGTGCGTTCTGGCATGCAGAAACATTACAAATTGCCCCCTGTAAAACAGCTCTCCCTATGCCAGCAAGGTGAAATTCCATGTTCGAATGCAGAAAAGAAGCTACCAAACACCATTGACCATTCAAACATTTCAATCATCCTACCCAAGCATGATTCTTCAACATAAAAAAAAAATTGCAACAATAATTTTGGTTCAAATTCGAAAAAAAAACTAATCATCAAGCAAAGCAAAGCTACTAGCTGTTCACAATTCTGAAGAAGCTAATCGAACACGACGAATTCTGAAGAAAAAGAAGCTAATCGAACACCACGAACATTCTAACTAAGCTGATGACAACCGGCAACTACTGATCTAGTCGTACATGGTCAGCTTCTGGTACTCGTCGCCCGCGATGGCCTGCATCATGATGGCCTCGGGGTTCACCACGCCGTCGTTCTGCAGGAAGATCTTGAGGAAGTTCTTGGAGAAGCCGCTCACCATGGCCACCCCCGGCTGCATCGACGTCACCGGCGTCGACTTGGAGTCGCGCAGGTTCCAGAAGATGATCTGCGGCACCACATCGCCGTACCCCGCGTCCCTGAACTTCTTGCAGATCACGTTGTAGTCAGTGTCCCAGGACCCGGACGATCGTCGCGATCCGTATCCGTAGTATCCACCCCCGCCGTGCCCCGACGCCTCATTGAACTCCATGTCGCTGTACACGAACACGGTCCTGATCATCTTCTCCGGCGCCAGCCGGGCGTTCACGGCCGTGCGGAGGATCTGGTCGAACACCGCCTGGAAGTTGGTGCTCATGTTCCATTGCATGCACTTAACGAAGGCCATCTTCTTGGCAAGGGTCTTGCCCTTGATCAGGTGGATCTCGGGGGTCGAGCTGAAGGTGATCACCTTGCCCGCCCATGGGTCCTCGCTGAGCTCCGACGTGATGCTCCCGGACACGTCACAGACCGAGATGCAGTTGCACAGCCACCCCTTGGAGCGGAGGTCGTCCACCATGCGGCGCCACTGGAGCTCTGACACATTGTCGTCCTCGCCGCGGTAGGCGGCCGCGGCGATCTCATGCGGCAGGAGCGCGCCCGCCAAGATCTTGGCCTTGCCGTCCTCCACGTCCTCGAGGTACTTGTCGAAGCGTGCCTCGTCGTGCTTCTTGAAAAGGAACTTGTAGCGCCGCATGCCACCGAGGCCACGCGGTTGTAGGGCAGCTCCGACCACCGCTGCGCGCTCATGTACACCTCAGGGAGCTCCAGGACCTTGCGCAGCGGCACGAGCACCTCACGGCGGAGGCTGCGGAGGGCCTGGTACGTGTAGTGGTCATCCGAGAGCTGGGCGAGCTCAGGGTCCGAGTCGCGCGGGAAGAGGCGGCGGGCGATGGCCTCGCAGAGCAGCGTGGTGCGGTCAAACGACGAGCCCGGCGTGGGGCACCACTTGGCGGCGAGCCCGATCTTCCTCTTCTTGCCTTTTGGGGCCAGCTGCTCGAGGTCCGAGGCAAGGAGCGCGGCGAAGAACTCGGCGACGGCGTCAAACAGGAATCGGTAGGCGCGGTCGCCGTAGTACGTCTCCAGCGACTGCACGGCGAGCTTGGCCACCTTGCGGACTTTCTTGGACATCCGCCGCGGCTTGATCGCCGTCTTTTCCGGATCAACCTCCATCGCCTCCGGCTTTGGCTCCTCGACCGCCACAGGGGCGGTCTCCACCTCCACGGGCTTGCCCTTGCCGAACTTGGAGAGGGCGGCCGAGAGGGAGTCGCCGAAGGTGGCCTTGGCCGGCTCGGGCGCCAGCTCGCGGGCGCGCTTCCGGCCGGCAAGCCTGGCGCGGAGGCCCTCCCGCTGCTGGGCCAGGGCCTTGGCCTTCCGTTGCAGGCGAGCGTCCTGGGGTGGTTCTCGTGCATCCAGAGCGCCGCGGCGTAGAAGCCCTCCTTGTCCGACTTGCCCGTGCCGCGCACGCCGCGGAGGTTGCAGGCGAGCTTGAGCGCCGTGAGCGCGTCGTGGGTCCAGGCGGCGGCGAGCAGGGAGCGCACGCGCTCGGGCGGCGTGTCGGGCACGACCTGGAAGAAGAAGTCGAGGCAGGGGTTGCCCGAGTTGGCGTACGTGGCGGAGCAGTTCTCCGTGAGCGCCCTCCGCGGCTTGAGCGCGGCCTTGATCTCCTCGGCCGACGGCGTGTTGAAGGCCGCGTCGAGGAGGTCGAGGAACGGGTGCGACGCGTCGGTGTCGTCACCGGCGGCGGCGGCGGTGGCCGCGGACGGGCGTGCGGCGCGGATGAGAGGAGGGCCGAGGAGGAGGCACGGCGCCGCGGCGGCGGCGGGCTCTGTCTCCGTCGCCATGGCTGCTGCTGCGCTAGGGTTTCGGGGGATCGATCGGGCTCGGGGGAGAAGATCGGATGATCTGACGGGAGGAGGGAGGCAGGCGCAGATTCGTTTTGTTTCTTTGCGTTCGCATGGGCCTCTTGCTGCAAACCGACTTACCCCTGTCATTATGCGTGGTTTTTTTTTTCTGAGATTCGGCAACCTTTATTAAACAATAATCGTATCAGTTACAAGGAAGGGGAGTAAGAAATCAGGAGGTTTATCTCGCCACTCTCCAGAAAAATTTCCTCTGTAACTAGCCCGAGCAAGCCCATGCGCTGCCGCATTACCTTCCCGAGCACAATGAACAACAGTCGCCCTGCCGAACGTAATCAATAACTTTCGACAGTCATCAGTAACAACCGCCGCTGAAGCACGGTAATCTGATGGGTCAAGGATAGCTTGGACAATCTCTAGTGAGTCAGACTCTACTACCAGTGTTGAAATGCCCAGATTGTCAGGTAGGCGTAAGCCATCAAGTAGAGCAAGAGCCTCCATGGATGGTGCATCCATAGCATGCTGTTTATAATAACAACATCCTGCAATAAAAGCGCCCGTACAATCCCGAATTACTGCTCCTGTTGCTCCTGATCCCACATCAGCATGGTAACTTGCATCCACATTAAGCTTTAAGACCCTCATAGCAGGCCTCTCCCACCTCACTTTTCTGTTCTTTACCCTTGGTTTCATAGCGAGAGCATTAGCAACGATGCCCCGTATACTCATTGTTGTACGGACCGGGGTGCCACACTTCTCGTCGTGGCTAATTTTCCGACGATCCCACCAAAGATACCAAGCTGCTACCATAATCATCTCAACTCCATTTGCAATCGGGATCCTTGCTTCTACCTCGAGGTCCTAACAGAGAAGCTTTTCTAAAATAACTGAACCTGACCTCTCTTGTGCTACAGCATTTTCAATGGTAGGTTTCAAACCGAGTTCCTCCCACACTTTCTTGGATCTGTCACATGTAAACACTAGTAGAAAAGGGGGCAACGGTCCAGGCCGGGTCAGCCCATTAGTCCCGGTTCAGTCTAGAACCGGGACCCATGGGGGCATTGGACCCGGTTCGTGAGCCCAGCGGGCCGGTCGGGCCACGTGGGCCATTGGTCCCGATTCGTCTGGACCTTTTGGTCCCGGTTGGTGGGATGAACCGGGGCCAATGGCCTCGCTCCTGGCCCACCACCATTGGTCCCGGTTGGTGGCATGAACCGGGACCAATGAGGTGCCTATATATACCCCCTCGCG